GGTTCTTAAATATTGGATTTTTTGGTGTTCTCTTTTTTAATGTTTTTACATCTTAAGGACAAAAGATTTTGAATAAATGTCACTAACATACTGTAATACACATAATTATCGAGTACAAGATATTTAATTGGAGTGGTTCTTATCTACCTGATGCAAGCAAATTGTATGGATGGGTTTGTTTATTTGAAATGCTGGATTGGGGTGTGAAATGGGTTTGCTTGTGAGGGTGTGACAGAGGCAGAGACAAAGACAGAATACTGTTTGTTGAGCTGGATTTGTTTATCTACTCCTCTTTCCTTTAGTAGATTAAGAACAATTCTCTCAACAGATAGCAGTTGGTTCCAGTGATTGATGGCATTGTTTACTGGTTTCTCCATGGACACAAGGGAGAGAAAGGTTAAACATCAATGTTTGTAAAGGGTTTCCTGGATGCAAAGTCACAAAGACCTAGCAAATCCTATACCAGAGAAGTGTTTATACTATTGTAGACCTTGAGCCCCTGGCACCAGAGTGCTTTAGAGTTGTTAATGAAATGTGGGTTAAACAGGGAATATCTGTTTTACACATTGCTACCACAACTAAACTATTTTGAGCAGCTCTGAAAGGAATAAGCCACACTAAACACCCTAGTAATATATATTTGTCTTGTTAGAGCCTATTTGTGCATTTTCTAATATAATACTTTTAGTATTTCTTAAAAACTTGGTATGTTACATAAAAAATATTGAATTGAAATTATAGTACATTCAACTGAAAACTGGACATATTTTCCTTAAATCTATAGCTTGGGCTTTTATAAGTGTTTTTGGAAGATCATTTACACTAATAAAACTTAGTTTATCAGTTACACTAATAAAACTACAGCCCTTGGGAACATAGATTACAAACAAAATGGACCAATCAGTCTGGTTTGACAGATAAGATATTACTGATCTTATAATGTTCACTGATAGGGGAGGATTCGATTGGGAACAGGTGAAATACAGTATGTTAATTTAAAATAAATCATAGAAACTTTAAGCATTGAAGATCCATAAAGTTAGAAAAGTTAACAAATGAAAACAATCTGAATAAAAACGTTTACATGAAATAAAACATGAGCAAAATATCACAGCATGATGTCCTTTTTAAAATAGAGAAAATTGTATGAAAATATGAAATTGTATTACTCTGTATCTGCTTGAGATGACTGCTGTAAATGGGAATATTGGAACTGTAGGTAATCATCTAATTTCCAAAAACAAATGCCTCATTGTGGTGACTAAGGATGCAGTGTACAGGAGTTGCTGTCCGTCAGGTTATATATTAAAGTAAGGTCTTGGCTATTTGGTCATTAAAGACCCAGGAAATGTTTTGAAAGAGCAGGGTGCTATTCGGCTAAATTCCACTCTGGGCTTCCACAGCCTGACCTGATCTACAGTACAAAGTTTTCCTTTAAATCAATGGGTGACAAAACGTCTTATTTCCCTTTTTATTTAGCATTTCAGATGCTAGCTCATTATTGCTGCTATACCTGCAATCCAGGTAGAGACTGCATATCAGAGGTGGATGAAGTGGGCCTCCTCCTATATGTAAAACACTTTGCTATGAACCATGTTACATAAATAAATGCAATTAATTGTTATTTTCAAGACGATAAGAGTTCATTCCCATTATATTGTGCAGATGTTTGATCCAAAGCGAAAAACATGCACCAAGAACTTGAAGGTTTCAAATTCAAAGTTATAGTATTTGAGTACTATATTAAAGTCAGCCAGCGCTACTGAATATGTTGATAGCCTGCTAATTATGAGAATTGTTAAGATATACTGTAAGGTTGCTTAAAAAAATATCTTACTGATAGAACAAGAATATATTACATACAGTAATGTATTCTCAGTGCTACACTGACTGATATAAAGATCAGTAAACACAATTGGGGCTCTGCCTTGTGGTTTATGGTAGAAATAGGAACATTTAAAGGTGGTTTAAGATGCATTAATTAGCAATATAGAGTTTGATAGTACTTCAGACCTCAGAGAATGTAATGTAGTAAGACAAATGCCTTGTATCAGTAGTGCTAAGCCTGCTTTCCTTGTTTACATTTTAAAAAAATTCCACTTGTCATGCTGTTTTTGTATTAATGGAACACTTGTGTTGTTTTTCTGCACTTGTTTGTTAGAAGCTTGAAAGGCTGCATTGTGCTCCTGCAGTAAAATTCTCAGCAACAACTCAGCGTGTATTAAGACTGAAGTCAATTTCAGCATCTGCTCCACTACATGAATTATTAATGTCCAAGAATCTTGCACAAAAACAAGGCAGGTGAAAAATGGATTATCCAGTATCCTGCCAACTAAATTTGTCGATTCTTTATGTTAATATTGATTTTTTTTAAATAACTGACATGAAATATACTATACTTAGATATGACGGCATGCTCTTAGCATACAAAGAAAGGCAGGTCATGTAAAATCTGAGTTTTGCCAGGCATAGAAGCCTTACTGTGAGATAATCCTGCTGTCTACAGTACAGCACAGTTATGAATTCTGTTGGATCTGAATACCATTAAAAACAAAGGCCTTGGAGCACAGCTTTACACAGCCTGTAGAAATAAAACTGTATGTCAAAAATGTCTGTCTTGCAAGAAGCCATGTAAACCAAATCAGATACTATTACTGCAGTTCTTGCACTTTACAGGTGCTCATCTGATATTAGGTCATGGATGCAGCAGAGCGTTTCTTAAGATAAGTTTTAAGATAAGGCTATACTCATCGATTCCCAAAATCAGATTTTTAAAGCAGGTGACTCCAGCTGTTGAAATTAAACTCTTGATGGAAGTACCTTATTAACTTTTGACTCTGTCAGAGTACATCCTAGAAATGTCATAAGGTATTTTTCTTCAATACACACCCTTGCTCACTTCAGGCCATTGGTATCTATGTGATGTTGAAATATTGTTATAGCTTTTATTTGACACTACTGTAATGCCATATTGAGGTACCTACTAAGGTAATAAACAGGCTTTAGTGTGTATACAATAAAACTGAATTTAATTGTCTTTACTGGATGTTTCACTTTTCATCCCAAAGGATCTCCAAAGACTGTATGTATAGAAACTGACCCACTTCATTTGCCTCTGAACTGCAGCACCTGTGTGGGTACCTCATGGCAACCATTATTCAATTATAGAAATTCAACAAACGAGAGGGGGAACTTTTGGTACACAGACTGAGTAAGCCCAAAGTGGAATTCAGCCAGGGTTATAAGGGATTATGTGGTTT